TAAGCATCAACACGCTTAATTTAGTAAAGTTCATAGAATGCACCCTAAGAGAGACCGATTAATTGCATTCATTAATACTGACAACTTGAAGATGCAGACCCTCAGGAATAATGCAAAACTAATCACTATTTCATAAGCCAGTAGTTATTTGAACATAATAGCTCAGCGGATAACATAATGTGCGTTTAAAACAAAAGATACCGTCTTTACGTTCCAGTGTTTACATTCAGCTTTTGCTTAAGTACTCAAAAAGATAGTTTAAGGTAATTGTAATCTAGACTGCGAGCACAGTCAATATTAACAATATAATATGGTAATATTTTAATAAACCTAGTGAAGATATCTCATCCCAATGAAAAATTATTATAAATATCCATTTCAATGAGTGAGTAGATAAATACGAGTGACTCGCCATCATTTCATGCTAATTATCGTTTTCATACTTTTTTCTAATTTCCTTTCAATACTGAAACGTGTATATCTTCAATGAAAACTGCTGAATAAATAATATATATATATAGTTGTGACAGATATAAGTTGAAAACTCTCTGAATTTTCTTACTATTTCATATGTACTACAATGCATAATGTCAGTAGTTTTCGGGTTATTTAGAGACGTCATATTTTAACATCACTGATACACTATAACTTGGAAGTTATTTACCATTCATGTATATGTATCTTATTGTCGACACATCGTAAAATTTAATAATGATATATGTGCCAATTCGTTGTGTAGACAAGAGAATTCATACATACACACAAAAATAGAATTGAACTAAACACCCCTCTTTTCGACAATTTATCACTGATGATCATGACAAAAATAGATTATAGTTACAGAACGTCACGCGCCAATTAAATCATTTTAATCTAAAACTAGAATTCATATTTAACTTTCGATGAAATTACGTTCATGAGATGTACAATAGAAATTAACTTATTACTGTTGTTATTATTTTAAGTGTTACAGAACTTTTTATTTACTATAACTAAACATTCTACTTTATTAGAATTAGTTAAAGAAAAACAATTTGATTGAAACTGAGTTTTCACACTTCATTCATTTTTATGACTGAAATAATGAGTGTATAGTTTGTTTCCTTCAATAGTTACTTTTTATTATCAATTTCTTATTTCCAGACGAAATATAATATACAAAGCAATAAACTTGATACTAAAACATTTGATTGAATTATTTTAATAACTAAGGATGAATACTTAAAATTCATTAAAATCTAATTATTCAATGGATGAACAAAAAACCCAATTAACTTTGAATACTGATATATCTTGTTGTTTTGAACGCTACTTTTTATATCTGGTCGTTGATGATTGTTGTGTCAAAAACGCTTATCATTTATAAATGAAATGAGGAACCTCTGCAATTGCCACGACGCAAAAGTAGGAACACAAAGACTGGTATAACTGATGATTTATTAAACCCAAAACACGACGACGATTCTAGTAGAAAATACACTCATTTATTTGTTGATTGTACACCCATTTTGATTAATAATTAGGATGAAATCACATATATGAAAAATACTTTGAGTTATAACAAATCACATACTGAGCATAGTTCATGTCAATGGAATACAAGAATATCGTATATTATACAGAATAAAATATCATACGAGAAAAGAAAACAAATACTACATTGAGTAACCATTACATTGAATCAAAACGGAAGTAATGTTGGACAAAACTCATTACGAGTGAATCAATAGAATTTTAACTTTTCTTCCCGTCATATCATCTTCCCTTCTTTTTTTGAAAACTCAAAGTTTAGATCCTGACTTCAAATTTTCTGACTTTATCTCCCCACCACCACAAAATAATGTTGGGTGCTCATATACCCAAGTTACAGTTAGTGTCACTCTATTTAAATAATGTTTCCCGCATTCAATAGAGAGTTCACTAGAACCTACTAGATGGTAAGGATCAACGGCACTTGATATGAGGCCATTAAGGTTTAATTCTTCTGAAACATTTTCATCAAATTTCTTGAAAATCTCATTTGTAGATAGCAGATCACTAGGATAGCCAGTATCTATCAAAATTTCATTAGGTTCTTGATCATCATTTGATACATCCGGCATATATTGTTCATTTTGTAAGAAATTTGACCAAGAACATGTGAGCCATTAAGATAACTCATATCTCGTAAAATAACTAGAGAACCTCGATAAGTAGATTCATCAGAAACTTTTACCGCAGAATGATGAGCTCCATTTGATGCAACTGTCTTCATTAGGCTGCTGATTAATTTTTTGTTTCTTCGTGGTTGGATACTGCGACAATTTTATGTGCATTTAAGAAGACATCTTCCTTCTGCGAGCTGGAGAGGTGAGTGTTTTTACATTGTGTTTCGGGGACAATGAGATTTGAACACGCTCCATGGAATGTCTCTACAATGGACGTTTCTGGACCACTCGACAAATCATGAATGACCGCTACTGCTTCGCTTACGTTACTGCTTTTCAAGGATTTATAGGGGCTTTTATCGACACATTCATACATTCTGCACTCATTTTCCAGCCCTATACGTAGCTCAGATATTAGTTCATTAAGTCCCGTCACATCTCCGAAACATGGATGATTCAGCAGGCGTGTGTGTCTATAAATTCCAACTGATTCTCTTTAAAACGCTGCTGTTGTTGCTAAGATAGCAACCGTAATTGATCAGAAGTGAGAGCCATTTTCTGTTTCTGTATGAATCAGCACGGTAATAGAAAAATACAGCATTACAAATTAACGACCAATGTCGTTCAAGGACCCCGACGACAATTCTGTATGCTGATTATCTTGGCTCTTTTTCACCCCGTTGCCACTTATATGTCTTGTCGTCTTCCCGTCATATCAAATACCATGTTGACATTTATGGTATTTTGAGATATTTTATAAAATAATATTCATCTCTGACTGATATTGGCTAGAATAATTCCAATAAAGCAGACTGCCGATAATAAAATGATTAGTTGATTATCTGTATTTCTAGTAGAAAATAAAAATATTTAAATCCAATAGAGTTGAAAGGAAATTGAAAAGCTTATCATTACATTGAATAGTAATTCAAATCAAGAAAAATACGATCATTTATTCTACTCTCGTTATCAGTAGCTCAACAAATTCTGTCAGTCGGTGAAATAAGCGCCTTGATGTCATTAAAAGTAATAAAGCATGCATATATATATATATGCGCCTTGTTTTAAAGCCGTACTCAAATGAATGTTTTTATGTTTCTACACTTACTAATCAAGTTAAAGATTCACAAAACTATACATAATCAGGTTTAAACTCTTAGATGTACCCATTTAAAATGATATTACAAAATTTATATTATGTAGACTAGACATTCTTTTAAACTTGAAGTGATAATTTTTATGAAGAAAGAATTTACAGTTTGGTCAAGAGAAGATGTTTTGTGAATAAAGCTAATACCGACAAAAAAGAAGCATAGGGGTATCTTTAAGAAATTGTGATTAAATCAGAAAATAGACATTACCGAGAGAGAAGGAGAGAGAGAGTGAGAGAAATGTGACATACCAAGCTGCTTAACACAATTTCAGAAGCAATTCTTGTCTTAAAATTTATCAAAGAATCTCAATAAAAAGTAAACTATAGATTAAGTTGTTGGTTTACACTTTTTGTTGTTGTTATTATATGCCTACTTTCTGTAATGTTTTGAGCATGTAAAATTCATTAACTTTTTTGTATTATGAAAATGACTTTAATAGCTATAACTAGAAGAAGTTTAATTCATCCTGGAATATTGTTTGGATAGAAGGTGAAAGAGATAAGGATGGTTGACTTCAACAAACTCATTAACTTGGAAAGCGTTTAAAATGATAAAGTACTGGGCTGTTTCATTCACAGGGCAAGTATCCAAAGTTAGTTCAAGATTATTATGTAATATTAGAAACATTTATAGCATGTATTTACAATGGCTCAGGTGCATACACTCTTGTATACCCCTGGATCCTGAGTTTCTAAATTTCTTCATTCTACCAATCCATAATTTTTTTCGAATCGTACCTTTGATCCCTAAATTATGCTTTTCACTTATGCTACTTTTACTACTATGGGATCTGCCTTGATAATTTCTTTTTGGTAGGCTAATTGGATATATCAACTGGAATGGATATATACATGTGCCAGGTTCTACGCTGTTTACAATCGGCTGATTGATTATTTGCACAAACATTCTTTGTCTACAAATATTCATTATTTCAATGATATCATAGTAATCACCTTGAGTTTACTAGAACTTATTATAAACTTAAGCGTTATGGTCAAATTACAGTGAAGCTTATCATTCAAAAGAAATCAAAAATTATGAAATACTTGCTGTTTGAAGCGATGACGAGTTCACCTAATTTAAGAACGGAACGAAGATTCTGTGACCAAAGACCAATAACCTAGCTACTCTTATGCGTTCCAGTCCGCTAATTAGAGAGGAAAGTCCAAGTTCAAAACGGAGAAACATATTCCGCAAGCAGCTAGAAGCACGAGCAATTACAACAGACACAAATCAAACATCTTTGGAAAAAACGTTACAAAATAGCATACTAAAAGATACAACAAGCCAATAGTGTTTAAGATTCTCCCAAGTGGAAAATTAAATTACAAAAATATGGTGTTTACCAATTGAGTTCTGGGGATCTAACATCCCCAACAATACTGAATATCTAATACATTCTAATATAAATCTCTTAATCAGTATTCCTCTCTTAATAACATGTTTGTCAACCTAGTGACTATCCTTTTGTCATTTTCAGTAGTTGAAATCAAACAAAAACGTTAAACTCTACCATGTTTGAATTATTCTATGAATATTCCTTTTTAACTCTTCAATATTAGAATACATAGGAATGTTATTAACCTTGAATTTTTATTTCAGTCAATGGATAATTGAATCAACACTAAGTAATTTATTTAAATCTACAATACAATCAATAAATAAATAACACGCTTATACAACAGAAGATTATTATCATATGTTGCATCAGCATGTCTGCATACTAAGTATACTTTCGACAAGTTTCGTTTTAATTTATGCACTCATTTCATTGAGATTATCATTGCCTGAACAATCTTTACCAAATTTAAGTGAAGAAGAATTTGTAATAACTGAATCTATTCAAAAAATCATCCGAAACAAATCTCATATTGAAATATATGATTGTATTTTATGTTTAATTTATTGGTTAAATGAATATATCAGTACTGTAATTCCCCATAAATTTGCATTTCATCGATACTGGTTATATAGAAAAATCTTAAATATATTTTGGGATTTAGTTGTCAAGTCATTCATTTGGTTTTCAACATTCTCCTCAATTTACACAATGATTATTTTACTTGATGAGATTGGTTCAATTGACAATTTAATCATGATACATTTTAAAAAAATATTTGAGAAAATTCATTCGAAAGATATAAATTGTAAGTTCTTTAATTTTATTTTCATCATGATAGTTTGCATATTTTGAATAGTTACAGGATATGTCTATCTACCTAAGAGCTAAGAATAAATGTAATTTTTTGATTGAAATCATGAATCAATTGGAGCTAGACCATCATGGAAAACCTAGAAGCACTGGACGGCCGTTTTGTTCTAGTATGGGACGTGGGTTGGTTGAGGTCAGACATTAACACCATTGGATGCCGACTCAGTGGTCTAGTTGGTTTAAGCGCCTGGCGCGAGACTGATAGGTCCTGGGTTCGAGTCTCGCGGGGTGCAGGATCGTGGATGCGCACTGACGAGGAGCCCCGTACTAGGACGACACGGCCGTCCAGTGCTTCCAGGTTTTCCATGGTCTAGCTTCAATTGACTCATGATTTCAATCAAAAACTTAATCTCCACAACACCTAAACTGATAATAAATTTTTTGTTTTGAATGTGACGCTACTTACGTTATCGTCAAAAGAATATGACTAAATGATATAGGAAACAAGAGTTTAAATCTCGAATCAACTACTGGCTTTGTTTAAATATAAACAGAACTTTTCGTTAATTTTTATGTTTCTTTTTCTACGTTTATATCTGATATGGTATTTTGACATTATCTTATACACAATTCAATGAAGAACGACGAAGAAATTCAAACATTGTCTTGTTGAAGTCTGATAACATATATCAATATAAAAGTAAGATATAATCCATTCACAGTGATAAAAGTAAATCATTGTTTGAAGTCGAATTCCAAGGTATAAGTAAACAGGAGGCAAGAATAAACTCAAACCCATTGAAACTGTTACACACGAACATTATTGATGAATAGGAACTTGGTTTTCTAAAACTTAAGGCTTTTGAATATCCTCATTTATATGCATCATCTAAAATTCGGAAGTCAAACATTTAATCAATGGGTTTATCACCTACATATATTCTCTCTAAAAAGATAACCGTTGCATCCTATGCAAAGGCGTTCAATAATCTATCACTCCTCCTTGTCAGACATACATCGAGATTGAATGACAATGATACAGTTATAAGATTAGTGTAAATAGTTTTTTCGGTATAACGACACATATGTCAACCGAAAACTTTTTAAACGTATCATTCTTTAGCATAGAAAAAGCAAACGCCTATAATCAATTTGATTTTATAACCTTTAATATACTGAGGTAACTTTATAAAACATATCTGTGTTATGGTAGGCCAAAAATTCAAACTTATTATATTCACATTTCAGCAGTTCACTATGTATCATTTTGTACTTTACAAATGTTTTTTCTAAGTCACTTTAACTGATTTATAAGTCTACAAATAAATCTATGTATAAATGTTATAACTTGTGGCCTGTGTGCCCTGTTAATGTATAACGTGATGATACCGCCAATTAGAGAGCAGTGAATTATCGATCGGATCAATGACGCCTAAAAACCCGTGCGAGCAGTCAAGAGTACTTATCGGTCCTGTTTCCTGTCTAGCCCAGCCAGTTGAGTCCAGAACACCAATCTCAGCCCCTGCAATATGAATCGTTTATTTCAAGCATACTGGGATTATATACCAACAAGACAAACAACACTGTGCCATAAAATATGAAACAACATTTGTACAAGAATTAGTCAAATGTGGCTGTGAATGTGGGAGGTAGTGATTAATAGACAGGGCATAATTCAAAAATCGTACATCGTATAAAAATAGTTCATAGGTCAAAATAAAGGCCATAATAATAGAAACATGAATATGAATAGTTTAGTCATTTGAAAATCATATGACAAAAATATACGTATTGTATTGGTCCATAAATGGATCCTAAAAGTTACCATTCATTTTGTTTATCGGGGCATAACAATAAAATTCTCTCTCTTCTAATTTATTGGTTTATTCTGTTTGTTTTCCTTATCATACTTGTTATTTAGTCTTTGAAAAATATTTTGGCGAGACTATAATTTATGGACTAACCAAACAGGTATAAGATAACAGGTCTCGGGTTTCGGCGCAAAATTCACTCGTCCATTTGGCTAAATAGAGTTTCGGCATTATAGCTTATGTCAGTTCGTGATGAAAACCCTAAATTTAAATCTTAACCCTAACCATCAACTGTAAATCATAATTCCAATTCCTCACACTGGTTTATAACACTCTTTTGGTCCTAGTTATTAGGTGGACACTCTGAAGGTCGCTCTAAGGTCGTCCATAAATTAGTCTCATCGAATTTTCTGTACCTAATTTAATACACATTTTTCTGACAGAAAACATCTTTCCTTTTGTCTTAATTCTTAAAAATCAAACGCTAATGACTACCTAGATTAATAAATGATTAACTGTTTTGCATAAAAAAAATACTACGTTTCATCATTAGCTGGAAAAACCTAAAAAAGTATAACTTTGCAATTAAAATCAAGTTGATAGAAAAAACATCATTTTTATGCTTGATTATTGTCAATAATCTTAGCACTACGGTTTATTGATTGCAATTATTTAATTGTATGATGTAGCTAATTATATAAAATTTAAGTCGTACAACTAGTTATATATGAGTGGCCGATTTCTCTCATCATTCATGGAAAGATGTCGTTGAAAGATTGATAGGAATCAATGAGATTTTAATTAGTATCCGTTTATTTAAGTGCTGCTGAAACAGATATATTTGAAAACCTATTGTTACATTTGACTTACATGAGAATGAGTTTTAATGTCTTATGATTTACTTTAGCTCACATTCATTAAATAATAAACTTGGTGAACGACTGAATCTATCCTAATTTAGTTAATTTTAGAGACCATAGCTATTTTTCACAGTAACTTATGGAAACTTATATTGACGCTGGTCGATATTGAGCTCGTAAAGTTTATTTGATTTGATGGTTTATAACTAATAATCTGGACTGGATTCCAGCTTGCTGAATTGAATACTTCGTCCCTATTTAATGAAATAATTATCTTTGGTTCTGTTGATGAAGACTAGAATGAAACAGGTTTCCAGAGCTCCTTGTTTGTCAAGAATTTTTCATCTAGTATACACTTACATACTTAGGCCTGTTCTCCATGATCCAATGTCACCAGCGAAATTAAACAATGAATCGATTTATTCCCTAATAGGCGTTTCTTCTTTATATTACTTGTAAATATTGTGAGTCTGTTTAAAACCTTCTTTTCCAAGCTGCATTATGTAGAATATACATAATACTGTAAAATTCTATCACTTACCTTAGATGTGAAATGTCTTCATTCTAATGTTTCATAAAAAATTTTCACTATTGTATATATTCTAAGAATCATTGTTTTTCGATGTATCTTAATTGAAATATCTTATTATTTAAAATACAATCGAGAAATAAGGTTAATTTGGACTGGTTATTCAACGACAAATTTAAGTATGGATTCACGCCAGCTATGAATCTATTGAATGTTGTTATCTGATGTATTTTCAGTGACTTTCAACTCGATAAAAGTTTTATTATGACTATTTTCATAAACTAAATATTTAAAGAATTACACATTTTAATCTGTTTTCTTGTTGATTTTTTAATTAACTTTGTTCTTTAGATAAAATCTTTCTTCAAGAATAGATGCTTTAAACTCGGTGTGTTTTAATTTATCAGTATACAATACTTCATTACAGTTCGATTACCTTAAAAGATAAGCTATAATTAGTAATAGATGAAACTGAAATATATAACTGAAAAATGTTCATCGATTTATTTATAAGTGAGTAAATAGTGTTCCACTTAACTACTAAACAACATTGATTGCATTACATCTTTGCACTATCAACTATCGAGTTTTAATTAAACTAAGACAGTAAAGTGATTTGATACAACCATGAAAATTGTTTTATGTTTCCTGTTTAAACATCATCAACAAAACCATAAATCCATATTTTATCCAAACCAAAGTTTAAGATTAATAAAATTGTGCACTAATATGTTGTGATATGGTTTACATAGCCAGATTGTACAAAGCCTTGGTTCAAGCTGTCCTACTGATCATCATACATTACACGAGAGTGATAATTTTCGAAATTTAAAATACAGTAATAATCATTCCAAAATAAACACTAGTAAATAGTCATTAAATTGATATTAGTTATTACAATGGAAATAGTAATAACAAAATAACACAACCAATGTAAATGAATAATTTCAATGGTTGAGATCATGAGTCAATTGAAGCTAGATCATTATGGAAAACCTGATCTAGCTTCAACTGACTCATGATCTCAACCATTGAAATTACTATAATATCCATGAAAAAGCTCTTCTGATATAAATGAATAACTACAAACTATATATATTGCTTAAAGTTTCATATTATTCATAACAATAGTAATATTAATAATGATAGGTATAAGTGCTTGTCAACAAACGTAACATTAATTACAACTAATATGTTTAATGCATCTAATGAGTGAATAAATAAAGAATTAATGTATACTTTTCGTATTCTTTAAAAATAACAATAATTTTAAATCAGTTAACCGATTTGTTTTTGTTTTCTTTTTTCCTATGTAGAAGTCATTGACAGATTTTATTCCCTTTTTTTCATTCAATCTTTTAAGTGTATAAATCGTTTACTCCATTTATGGTTTTCTCCCACTTCTTCTATATCATAGTGAATAATTAATGTTTATCAAGTTTAGATAATAATAAATAAGATCTATCAAAAATATTCAATTATTTAACAATCAATTCACAATAGATCATGTCAAGAATAGTAGTAAATTAGTATTGAATACCTGATAATAGTAATGATAATAATGTTTATTATTCAATTGATAAGATATAACTTTTAATGGATATACTATATCATTACAATATATTTGACATTATTTCTAAGATATTTATTACTAAAGTATATGTGTAAACTTGATAACAGTTTTTGGTTTCTAAGCTAATACTTGTTTAATCAAAGGGGTTTTTCTTAATGTAACACAAACGGCTTATTGATATCTGTTATTAATTAAAGTCTATCGGTCTTTATAATAAAGTTATTAAGGAAATATATAGAAAGCAAAGAATATTAGTTTACAGAAATTTATATTCAATATGAATAAAATAATTCATATAAATGAATTGGAAAAATGTCCACTAATCACGGTTACACTTTGTTTCTATGTTCCAAAAAAAGAAGGAAAAAATATAACTTATGTCATTCATATTTTATTCATGAAAATTAACCAATAAGATTAATGCGATATATATATATATATATATATATATATATACATGTTCACTCATAAATTATAATGTACGTTTATCCGCCTGTAATAGTTGATTTATTCTGTCGCTTCCTAAAAATATCTTCTGTATACATTAACAAACTTTCCAGTTCCGTACTAAACAATTTTAATATTAACATATTTTTGATTTAAACACATTTATTCTCCTCAATATTGACAAAATATATGACTTAGCTAAAAATGAACATATCACAAACTACAAGAATATGATAGAAGCTCTTGGATGATCAGAGATAAAGTTAAAACTATCTAGTATGATAAAAGTACCAGACAACAAAATAGATCAGTTTGATTACTTGTTCGTTTTACTGTTAATGTTTGAAATATTATTTGATTTGGAAAAATTTTTCAAGTTTGAGTTTGGAAAATAGTATTTCAACTTGACGATAACAATAATAAATTATACTCATCATTGAAGTTAAATATGTGTTTCGATGAACTACAATTCAGCACTGTGCTAATGATAAATTTGGTGTGGGGCATTTTATGGATATTGATTTTGACGAGTTCTGATAGTTCTGGAATGATATCAAAGTCATGAGTGACACTAATACTCCTAGTTCATGAAATTTCTTTCCAAGACTTTGAGCATTTGTATATAAAACTCTTAAGAAGAATGATCAATCCATCCTATTTCAAATAGTTTTGCCTTGGTTTTCATTGTCTGCTAGAGACATGTTGGGTATCGCTCAAATGTCGGTGTTGTCGTGACTTCGAGCAATAATATACAAAATATTTCGTTTTTTCCTCTGACTCTGGGATTATGGTTGAATTTCAACATTTTCATCTGTCCTCTTACCCATAATGATCAGTTTTTTATTTGAACTCCTATAGAATTGTCTGATGAGATGCTACGAATCAATGCTCCGACCTTTTCCAAATCATGCGCGTGTCGTTTGATTTTAGCAAATTACATAAAGTAATATTCGATGAGACCAAGGATTTTGCGACCACGTTAGGGTTAAGTCAGGTCTTAATTCGGGACATTGGTAGTATGTTCTGTGACGCAAAATGGGAGACTACCAATGGCTTATAAACCAAACAGGCACTGTTTGCAGCTTTTTTCTTTCTTTTGTTTGCTTCTGTGCCATTTTCCATTTCCTATCAACCAAGACAGCCACATTGGGACTACTTGGAACGGCGACCGTTTTATCCGGGTCTTCAGGTACTGCTTTAGAATCGTGACCACCATCATCCAGTAGTTTTCCACCCCATTTTTTAAAGGTAACTTCCTCTTCCATGTTTTGCAGTCGAGTGTTTGGCTCGTCCCGTAACAGCACATACTACATTGACACATACTTCTCTGTCGGTACTCATGTTACAAGTGCATCCATCATCAACGTTCTAGCTGGCCAGAAGGCAGAAGGCCTTAGCCTCTTACTCGGATAGCAAAATATTCAAAGCCACTGAGAAATAGGCATAAGAACCTTTTCTATACCGTGGGACTTAAACGGGTACACATCTTGTGGAACCACGTTTTAAGCACAATACATTAAATTTCTTCCTCTACAGGGAAGAAACAGTTTCATTGTTCACATTTATAATTACAGCCGACCATTGTAAACAAATTTAAACGAGAAAGACCAACAACAACATTAGTGTGAGAATCAGTTAAAAAAAGAGTATCACAAAACAGATTTGAGGGAAATTTCCATCCCTAACCGCGGTCAATTAAGTTTAATTAGATCAAGTATACTTTTTGTGCAATAAATACACAAAAACAGAGTTAATTAACAAAAAGTTCGAAATTATTGCAATTTTTTTAAAACGTGCACCAGATCCAGAAGTATGTGGTAGACTTTGCGATCTCTGATCTAGAGAGTACAGTTGTAAAGCATTCGTTTATTTTGAATAGCGTATAAGCAAAGACCACTTGGTAACGGAATACAAATGACTGAATCGCAGATCGATAAAACATTTGCAGACTGGTAAGCTGGTTAAGAACAATGAAGGCTTCACAAAAACCACCAAACCCAGAAACCATAATAATTACTTACTTACTTACGCCTGTTACCCTCTTCGAGGAGCATAGGCCGCCCACCAGCACTAACCATCCAACCCTGTCCTGGGCAATCCTTCCCAGTTCTTTCCAGTTGCTATTCATCATTTTCATGTCCGCCTCCAATTCCTGACGTAAAGTGTTGTTCGACTTTCCTTTTTTGTTTCCCATTAGGATTTCAGGTTAGCGATTACCTCGTGATGCAGTTTGGTTATTTCCGTAATGTATGTCCTATTCACTTCCAACGTCTTTTCCTGATTTCCTCTTCAGCTGGAAGCTGGTTTGTCCTCTCCCACAGTAGATTCTTGATGATTGTATCTAATCAACAGACATTGAGCATCTTGAGTAAACAATTGTTCGCAACTACTTGTATTTTTTTATGATGACTACAGAAGTACTCCGAATCCCAACTTCATACAGCAGAACTGTCTTGAGGTTCATATTGAAGATTCTCAGTTTGATACTGATTGACGGTTGTTTTAATTTCCATATGTCCTTCAACTGTAGGAATGCGACTCATTCTTTGTCAATCCTCACCTTTACGTCTGCATCAGATCATTCACGTTTATTGATGACACTACCCAGGTACGTAAAAGTTTCCACCTCTTCCAGATTTTCTCCATCAAGTGTAATTAGGTTGGTGTTCTCCGTGTCGTACCTAGCGTTTCCCTTGTGTATGTTGAAGCCTACTGATGCAGAGGCTGCTGCTACACTGGTTTTGTTCACCTGTAAGGTAAGGTTCTGAAGCCTTTTCTGACTCTAATCTTCACTTGGAATGTAGCCGTCATTTGTCTTACATGCACGACTTTGCAGTGTAGTCCGTCGTATTAATTCCGTATGGTGTTGACGACTTTCCCTGGTACACCATAGGGCTGAATAAGGCTCCATGAGGTTTTCCGATCCACACTGTCAAACGATTTCTCACAGTCAAGGAAGTTGGTGTACAGTGACGAGTTCGATTCAATTAATTGTTCATTGATGATCCATAGTATCGCTGTTTGATCTATGCACGACCGATTCACACGGAATCCGGTCTCTTAATCTCGAAGCTGGTCGTCTACTGAATCTGTCATCCGCTTCAGAAACACTCTGTTAAAAACGTTTCCTGGTACCGCTAGTGGTATGGTGCCTGTGTTGTTCCCACACTTTTTCAGATCGCCCTTCCTTGGTTTCCTGATGAGATGTCCTTCCTTCTAGTCTGTCTGTCTGTCTATCAGTATGTCGTCACTTATTCCTCCTCCTAAATCTTCCTGAATGGAATGAAGTACGTTTACAGTTACTTCTATGTGTGACTTCAGTGATTCAGTCGGTAAATTGTCAGATTCTACTGCTGCTGGTGCTGCTTTCCCACAGTTGATTTGTCTGATGATCGGTCATCCTTTTTTATTAATAGTTGATGGAGTGATATCTATGGGAAGGTTTGTGTGTGCTACTTTGGTGTCAAGAGTTTATTAAATTGTTCCATCCATCTGTTTCTTTGTCCTTGAATTTCAGTGATTGTGTTTCATTCCTTGTCCTAGACAGGTTTCTCCGGTTTACTGTATTTCCGTACCAATTTCTTCGGTATATCATGTAGTTGTTTCACATTCCCCTCTCTTGCAGCTTTCTCCGTTGCCGTTGCTAGCTTTTCCACGTATTTCTACTTGTCAGCTCTAATGCTCTTTTTCACTTGTTTGTTTCTTCTGCGTATTAAGCTTATATCTTGACTTTCTCCCATCAGGATGGTCAAGTCGTTTCCTGAGCACTTAGTTACGATTGATTTCAGTCTCTTGTAGAACTAATCTTTATCGTCGTCGTCGCTGTCATTGGTGGGCGTATAACATTGGATGAGATTCGTTGTGATCCCCTCCTTATTTGTTTTGATTCTGGATGCATGGGATTCTCATCCTATAACTGCTTTTCATGCTTCTTTAGACAACATCGGAGCAACTGCCTGAGTGTGTGGAGCATTTTCCTCTTCATGACCGGAGTACAGCATCATCTCTCTTGGATTCAATCTTTTGTGCCAGCTTGGGCCCAGTCGGTTTCAGTGATTCCGAGAACCGTAACGTCGTATCTCCTCGTTTTCACAGCTATTTGACTGATCCTCTCAGTCTCCTACATTGTCTGAACATTCCATGTACCTGTGGAAATTGTTATTCTGGTTCTTAGAAGGGTCATCGGCCTTATGACTTCCGAAGAATGTGGGCTTTCACCATGAGTCGTCATAATTCCTTCGAATAATGATTATTTAACTTGAGGGACAGAGTTTAAATAACTTGAATTGTCTTTTTTGGCTGGCGTTTCTTTAGCGAGGTTTTTCTCTTTGGGGTGGCGTTGCTGACCCCATGCCCAAACTCCTTCCTTTGTATGGGCTTGGGACTAGCATTAAACCTAGAACAACCACAAGTGGAGTTGAAGACCACAATACCTTCAACATGTATATGTTTCATCTTTACAAAAACATATTTTTAATCTTGTTTTGAAATTACGGTATATTATTTGCCCTTGTACTATGTGCTTTTAATCCTATGACTTTCTTTTCCTGTTCATTTGACTAGTTTTATGAACTATTTGAGATTATTGAATAATTTGTCCAGGTTTTTGTTATAAAGACTATTTGATCACGTATTAAGTAAATTTAATTTATTCTGAAAAGTGTATTATTTTAGATATTTTATTCAGCAGAAACTCTTCATTTCCATTTTTTAATTGTGTAAGCTGATCAGCTTATCATATATTTCAACTATTTTGAAAATATACAAAGACAATATAAGTGCTGTGGAATATATTCTATAGAAGACTGGCTCGGTGTAACCCAATACCAGGGATTGTTTACTGAAGTAAGTAATGAATTACTGGATCCATGGGAAAGGGTTTCTAATAGTATTCCGAAAAGCTGTTGTGACCTAGAAGAAACAGTCAGTTGTTCTCAATATTTTCTTAAATCAATCGCACTGAAAGCATTTCATTCCACAAACGATCGAGTATTTCATAACAGCACCACATTTATTCATACAGACGGATGTTTGAACAAGGTAGCTGCTGAAGAACGACAGATAATGTACACTTTTATCATTAAATACGGAATTATAGGCATATGTCTACATATCATACGGTTGACTATGTTTTGCGTTGTCTATAATCACGCCGAAATAAAAAATGTAAATAAACTAGCAGAAATCAAACAGCACTCTTTTACGAGTTCAATTTACTTCAGTCCATTAAAAAACACGCGCTACATATCTAACTCACACTTATCGATTGCCTGTGGTAGTTATTGGCTTTTCGGACAACCAGCTTTTAAGCAGCTACAATTTGGAAAGTTGAAATCACAGTGGTTGGAAAAAAGTATATGTATAGGTTGGATGTTTTACAAAAAAGGCAAACATTACATAACATTTCTACATCGAATAAACTTTCAGAAAAAAGGTGCACAATTGAATGAGTTTCGCCAGTTTCTGCGCTTTTCGATACCAGCTTTTGAAATGATGATCTATGCTGACGGTAATGATAAAGAAGAGATTGAAGCAAATATGATCTACGGTGGTTATATTGCACGACTCTCAAGAATGATATGCTTCCTGTTGTTTGGGATCTTCATTGGTGAGTTTTTCTTAGCAACAGTAATACCTGTTAAAAATGAAGCTAATGAATTGACTTCTGGTGATAAAAGAATACCAGATTATATTATTCAAAGAGACGCTGAAGCACTGGCGAATGATGTCGAGTGGATAGCTAGAATATTTATTCGAATTACAATCACACTAACTGCTATGGTTTCGTGCAGATTTCGTTGTCTTCTCCTATTAATAATTCCAAGCTTAGCTCAGACAATCGGTTTGTCCTATTTAGGCAATGAATTATTATATGTGTCTATAACAGGACCCATTCAAAATTTAGAACATAATCTTCGTTCAGCGTCTCAATCAATAATTTGTTTCATTAAACTAGCCTACAATATTACAAGGGATATCAACAATTTTCTAGAGAAGGGTAAAGAAGTAATTGAATCAGAAGGGGATTTAAATTATATTGAGACTATTAAAGTTAGATCTGATCAACTTAAAGAAAAAATAAATAAATATAACCAATCAATTCAAAATATCAATACGGAAGTAAGTTGATACCAACAGTATTAGCAAATTTTAAAAACTATCCCTATGACACTGAATGAAATAAAATTCGTTTTAAAAACGTTATTTCACACTTGCAAATTGAGGAAAAGAATTGAGATCACCTTTGTAAATATCTTGGATAGATTGTAGTGAATAGTGGCTTTTCATGAACACTAAGCTTTAAGATGGAATAAATAAGGAAACAGTAAAATAGTTTTCAAGTGATTTATGAACACATTACTCTTGTTTTAATGTATACGAGTATTTTTTCAAAGGATCAGAAACAGGGTTATTAAAGTATTAAACTTTGATTTTAGCGTAGTTGATTACCGAAAAGTTACCAGGAGTCCCAGAAAATGAAATCACTACATTATAAATTACGATAGTAAGGAAATTCTATGAATGCGCCGTATGTAGTTACCATAATTTAGAAGGAAGTTCACTAATCATTCCAAACTATTTTGTATTGTGCATAAAATCTAACCTAAAATGAAACAGCACTAATATCGAAGTAAAATTATTCAACTTCCACAATATATGAAACGAAATCTAGAGTCTAGCATAATTAAATACTTTTACTCCCGCTAAATAATATTTTAAATGTGCTTCATAAAATTCCCTCTCATATGTTTTATATTTTATTAATATTTTTGTACCCAAGCTAACATAAAGTATGACAGTTTGAATCGATGGTCATTAGCCCCCCAGTTCAACGCCGGCTGGACTGACTAAACTGCAAAATTTGATCCAACATCATTTTCTGGGTATTGCTAGACTTCTTCTGAATAACACTATTTCCCTATGATATGGATGATGTTTATAGTAATAAAAATACACTTATCTACATCTATCTCCCAGGTAACATGGATGCAAACGTTTAAAAACTTAGTTCATCTCAAACACGATTTAAGGAAGCGATAGTTATTTCGCTCTTTGTAGGGTGAATGGCTCACCACGTTAATTGATACTTGAGAAAATCATTGAAATAGATAACAACACTTATTACAGTGTTTGTTGAAGGGCTTGTTAGACAACTTTGCTAATGCTTTTTTCATACTGATCAATAGATTTTACCCATGTTTACTATTTATAAACAAATTAAGAGTGATTATGGAAAATGAAGAGCAAAACTTCTATTACGTTTGGAATTTTGACCTTGCACCTGGCGATCAATCAAAATGAAGCGGGAATCACTGATTATATTACACCACATTTTATGTTTAATTTACATACTATAATTCGAGATGATTTAATTCGCCTTCAACTTGTCCACGTTTTTGGATTATTAATTTGGATATCATAATTATGGAACCTGAGGAGAAATTCTTGAAAAGAATATTTTTCTTTCATATACCTGTTTTAATTATTACTTACACTATCGTAATCCAATGTTAAATGACGCATTTTGTTCTCTGTCGTTTTTGTTGGATTATATGTTTAATGTAGTGTTATACAACAAAAAATAACACTCCATCATGCTATGGACATATCAAGTGTAAGGTAGTCAGTAATAATTGGAGAAAAAATATAGCACAAGACATTCTATAATAGAAAGTATCTCAAAATATTTACGATTGAGTGACTAAATAAACGAAAACAAAACCGCAATGATTGACTGCGATACGCTTAGATGATTTGAAAACGTAGAGTTTATCCCCAGTCAACATTGTGACATCAGTTGTTAATATATCCTTCCCTTGACATTGATTTTGTGATAAAAAATAACTTTTATTGAAATTCTACATTCAATTCATGGGTCAAAAATTACATTTTTAGTAAATTCGGACGATACAAACACACTTGAATACAACTACGTGAATAAAATTAAAGTTCATGCTCATACACCATGCTTCTAATTAAACAACAGCTATATCAATTTTAGTTAACGAAATAGTTTGTTTTATTTCATTTAGATTGAAAAAGCGAAAACCATGGTGAAACGTGCTGAATCTTTTCTTGGCTCAAGTATTAATGAAACGAATGTATATGCTCGTATGTCAATGGAAATGGCTAAACAGGCTAAGCAAGAAATGATTAAAAAAGCTGAGGCAAGTAAAGATAGCATTATTACAATGTTGAAAGACAAAAATGTCAATAAAAGTATAATAAAACAAATACTGATCGTATTGAGAATGGCTTACAATTAGAATACAGTATAGAAACTCGTATGCAAACAACATGTATGGTCTTCTACAAAACACGTGCAATGATATGTGAACAATCATCAATTAAAGCATGTAGTCGTTTACAAACTATTCTCATTGCAACAACACGCTATCCCTTATTGATAAAAAATACTTGTCTACGAAGAATTGCTTCTGGTATAGCATGTCCAACTGATCAAACACTTGAAAATGCAATAAATCAGTGTAGTTCAAGTTTAGCAAAAATAGGCTATTCTAGTGGATTTGGTTCTTTATTTTTACAAGCTCAACAAGATTTATATAATATTAAACAAACATTTCACTTTATCATACAACATAAATTGTTTCAATTGAACAAATCACTAATTGGTTTCATCAAAGATCTACAGTTATTGATCGTGTAACTCAACATACCAAAGAAATCATATATATTATTGTTAAATTAAGTTTAATTTTAACTTATTTATTAAGAACAATTTGTTTAATTGTATTTTATAAAGCTCATATTTATATAACAAATTATTTATTAGATCCAGATCATGATAATATTTACATTGAATCACCATTTGAAAAAATTGATCATAAACGTTCAAAACAATTACGTGAAACATTACTACCATTAAAAACATATGAATTGAATAATGTAATATGGTATCAAAAAATGTATACAACAATTGAATTAAAACGTGTAATTCAAAGTTTAATTAAAGTAATTGGTTTCGGTTTTTGTTTATCTATATTATTCTTTATTGATTTTTATATAACTGAACTTGTTCAATTATTAGATGAAATATCAAGTACTACAATTAAAATTGGCAATCAAATAAATAATAATAAAAATTATACATTTCAACAAATTAATTCAATATCAAATCAATATAAATTCATTTTAAAAGGTGATGGAATATTTACTGAATTACTTCAAAAAACCATCAAAATTTTACAATATGCTAGTGATATAAATTTTATTTATCACTTAGATATATGTAGTCCTAATGTTGAATTTACAAAGTTTAAATCTGTTATACGTTTTATTATATTATGGTTTATAATGATAATTCTTTGTTTATTATCTGGTTATATATTACGTTTAAGACATAAATTATTAAATAATTTCTATCCAAATTGTTCAAAATATCGTTTTATTTATTTATATAATAAATTATTAGTGAATAGACGATGTCAAATGACCACGGTACGTAATCGAATTGTTTATCAATCACGACATAATCAATTACAATCAGAAATGATAAAGTGTTCATCTTATTCATTATTACATAATTTATTTAAGAAAAAGAATAAAATTCATTGTATTATATGTATGGAAAAATATATAATAAATAATAATTCATTATTATATATATGCCCATATGATAATACAGTCATATGTCAATATTGTTTAATTACTTTATTTAATAATCATAAACTATGTATTACTTGTTTAGATAGAAATTATGAAAAATTACAAAAAATTAATAATAATATTACAATATTAAAACAAATTATAATGAATCAATAAATGAAATGGCTAACAACAACAAAACTACAGTTTTTTGTTTGTTGTTGATTAAATGAATTCAACATAGAAACAATAAATCAATAATTAAACTTAATGAAATCTACATGTAAATTATCATTTATGAATTAATGTTTGATTTTTGTGTGTGTGTATGTGTGTACTTATAATTATAAGTAATATTTGATTGTTTTGTTTTCTATTTGAATTTATACAATATTTTATTGTTTAAAGAACAATATTGTTTTTGATTAGATCTTTATCAGGTTTTTACTCTAATATACAATAATAATAATAATATGTATATATGAAATTATTCAGTATAGAAGTTTACGTAAATGTATTCACGTGTAATTAATTCCTTGTAAGCCAACATTTTGAGAATATTGAAAGGATTGAGGTTTGTTAGAGCATTGGTTAGGGAGGAGGGATTTTAAAACCGGTAAGTAGATGTACATCTACTAATTTCAAAATAATCAGGATTTGGATTTTCTTTGTATATTGAGACAAGTGTTTGTGATTATATGTACTCGTCAGTAAAATGTTTATATTCAGTCTCATCTTAATATATGTGGGATTATATTAAAGGATTAAATGAATATGTTAATCTCAAACTAAAGAGTTCATTGGACTGTTCAATAAACTCATCTTAGTTTTCAAGTGTATGAAATCATGGTTATCAAAATACTATCTTGACCACATGAAAATTTATCATCATGCTTTGCAAAATTTAGTTTGTTTATATCTATCTGAAAGAAATTGTGTATATTAAAATAATTTAATAATCACATCAAATAGTTTTACTGGCAAGAATAATGAAGATTTTCTCAAAAATTGCTGCTTATAAACGGACTGTTTGTTTTTCTCGATGGTAAACAAAAGTTTTTAACATATTTTAGAGTAATAGTCATTTCTTAGGTGATGTGAACTTTCTTAAATAATATGTAAGGAGTTAATGATGATTCATTTCGATGCATAATTCTAATCTACGTGATGAAACACAATAGTAAACAATACTCTACTGCATTACTTTCAAATAAGAATATAAGACAATTAATGACTCAATACTAGAACATCTAGTTGGTTTCAGTCCCATTACTACTCCACAACTGTCTTTCGAAATTGTCTAAACAGTCTGACTAAGAAGGAGGACAAATCGGAATGTTCTCTGTAGAGACTTTAGGTTTCATCGTCTCAAATAGAGACTTCATTCACTCCATCCTTGAGTGTATTGATGACACAACGTACTAAAAAGTCTTAATTTCGGTAATTAGTTATACTTTTGGTCTCATCGGTAAAAAACTTGAAAGATCACCTGCGGATTTAAAGAAATTTGCATGAATGTCATATTGAAAGATGATGCAGTGGAAATCTTCGGTTGACTCTCGAAATCAATAAGCAGAATGTTTTGTCCCACTAAGTTTCATATTGTCTTCTCTAGAGGATCTGTGACTCATAGATGTGGTAGATGTAAATTTCACATTAAGGTGTTTCTATAGGTTTACTTTCTTTTGTTAAGCAGATGTTATAGCTGATATGGATTTCAAAAAGAGGATGGGAAACAATGAGTAGCTCGGTATTGGAACATCTTGTCAATCGCGGTCACATCACATAGCCAGAAACCAGAAGCGTCTTTCGAAATCATTTGCACGGTCGAATGACCTTGCTGATTGGAAGCACAAATAAATAATTTGTTCATTGTATAGGTCTTAAAAATTTAGTATTTCAAGCTTAAACTCTTTTTGCAGAGGCAGCATGCGTTATACTTCATTCTGTTAAGGATCATAACACTTTTAATTTTTCATACTCATTGTTAAGTTACTTACACTCTCTTCCAAGTTTTTAGACTTATTGATCATTTTTTATTATTGCCTCTACTTTTCCGGATTTCTTTTCCACCTTCACACTTGTCAAATAGACATTAACCTATTATGCTTGTGTTTTGATGTAACTGTTTTCTCTGAACCTTTGAATCGTTGCGAAACCTCTCACGACACTTTAGGCGTCAGCTAGTTTATCAATTAAATTACTATAAATATCATAGTGTGGATTTAGTACTGGATGTTCTTGAAGAGAAAATTTACTTCTTCGAGTTGTATTTCGTTAATCTAAATTTATAACAAAATACGGTGTTTCATGTAACTACGTCTGAAAGGGAATAAGGTTTTCACATGTCAAATTACTAGATACTATTTGAATGGTGAACAAGAAGTGAATGTAAGTAATGCATTCAAAATAATTAACAGACAAGAAACACCAATCTTATTCTGTTTTGCTGAAGCAATCGCTATCAAACGCTTCCGATTCGACTTGTCTCTACAGAAGGAAAGTGGGACTATCCTTTCCCTGTCATGATGATTGAAAGTTTATCTGATAACCTCTATTTATTTTCGAGTTTTTTCAGCCTTGTGAAACATGTTTAAATAAGAAATCATTAGTGACGATCTAACCATAATTACAAGAATATTGATCCAAAATATATCAGTCCAAAATGCATTAATTCAGCTGATATTCAACCGTTCAACAGTGATTGCTCAAACGAAGTCCAGGTCAAATAAATAACAATGGAAAAACGTCACAAAAAGCAATATATTTTTGATGCACCCAATAAAAACATGCAATCGCTTAATCGTTTCATAAATCGTTAAATATTTATAAACATCAAGTAAGCAGTAAATATAACTATGCAGAACAGAAATTATATGAGAAATATTCCAATATTATGAACCAAATGCATAAGTGTCCGTTATCAAAGTGACGTTTGATCACCTGCCTCACTATCGAAAACAAAGTTATCACGCCTCATCGTTAAAGCTGAGATTATTCCGAAATCAACAACCTGATGTCAGTTCTCACAATCACAGCATCAATAAACAACGTACATGCAATGTCCGCATTATTTGAGAAACCAGAGGATTATCCAAGTGACTGTGAACATAAAAAGATACATCATGGAAGTGTTTGAAGTCTGACGAAATCATTCGGCACAAGCTGGATAGAAAAGCTCAATCTCAGCAGGATTGGTTATTGCAATCTGATCACCAACAAGAAGAAAATTGCCTCTCACACACAACGAGTTTCAATGATTCTATTCGAAGTACAGTGAACAGAACTCACACGATGTGAATCTCGTGGATCCATGATCATCGAAATATCTTCTAAAACAACACACTGGATACTAAGCCAATATTACTGAGATGGGTTTAGTTGAAGCGCAAATTGTATTCACACACATACATTGTGTGGGGACTATAATTTTATATAACTCACGCTTCAACAAATCTCAGTATTCACTTCAGTCAACTATCACTAAAAACCACAGATAGTTAGCTAATATCAAACTTCGTTCATTTCTACAACCAGTTAGATACATGTGCAAGCATCCTAACATACACGTCATCATTACTATTCCCTATGTATGCGTGAACACATTCACATAAATTGGTGAGATGTGTCACAACCGTTTACTTAACATCTATGTGGAATATGGATATTGTTCCTTCATTAACAATGATTCTGATTGATTAGTACAATTTCCTGACAGCTAATTAGATTTTAGTTTCAACTGAAGACTATTTTGTTGATCTCTAAGTTGTAGAATGATGAAGGCGAGACTTTTATTTATCAGAAGCATTGTAGGCCTTTCCATCGGTTTATTAGTTTAAATGCATATCAATGTATGCTTGTGAAAATACATCTGATTATATTGAATTGACCCTTTATCAAACCTCGTTCACATGACAATGAAGATACCACTACATCTGTGCAGGCTTTTCATAAACATATCATGTGGCCGAATCAACTAATATCCAGCTAATATACGTCACCGAAGCAACAAGCCGGTTTTTTATACGATTTCGAAGTATCAAGCTGACTTACTGAACAATTCCCGTCTTTCGTTTTGTCACCTATGACTATGATATTGGGATTTCTGGAATTTATAAAACCAGCTTGCAATACTCTTAAATTGCTAAAACAAATTTTTAAAAAATATTCAATTTCTGATTGTTATTACTTCTCACTGAATTAATTGATTCAAGTAATTCTGAACTGATTTCCCTACAACGTCGGTAAATATCTACAAATTACAGTAATTTTTATAACTGATAGTTTGCCATATGTATAAGAGAAAAAAATAAAGTAGATCAAACTTGTTTTTTCCATCTTTTCGAAATCATTGGTTGTTACCTAATTTGGCTCCAGGCTATGTCTGTTATATCTTGATTTCTATCAAATTTTTTCTGCTAAGCTTAAATCATTTGCTGTTGATAATTTTCAAAGAGCTAGAAATTTTTCTACGTATAAAAGGTGAATATGTATTTTGTTAACTTGAGTGATTTTTATCACTTTGAGCATTCTGAAAAAGATCAGTCGTTAAGATCAATACATAAATGTATAACTGTGGTGTGCGCTTCTCATGAGGATAGATATCAGTAGTATGTAGCAAGAATAAGAAATGGAATGCATATGAGTGGAAGATTGAAATGAGGAGAACAGAAAGGAAAACGAAGAGCAATCGGAATAACAACAGACTTAGAAGGATGATGGTATTTGTAGAGAACAACTCGAGAAATACGTATAAATGACGTATTCACTGTATGATTTTTATAACTTAAGAATTGTATAGTTTTGCATAAAACTATAGATTGGTTTACCTTAATTGAATTTTTGTTCACTGCATAACTACTCATTAGCTGATTAGATTGTATTAAGTCCCTTTTAGATGAATAATCTGAGAATCACTATTCAAGAAACTTTTGCTTACACTACACCCCAATGTATACAAGCCAGTGAATCGATAATATAATTAGGTAATGATGAACCAATTCAGATTATTTTACAAATTGTCAGATAGGGTTTTAGAATAGTAGCATGTCCTATGTTTATATCAGTTCGATTTGACAACTCAGATAATTGTTTTCGCTGATGGCCTTCATACATTTTGTTCGATCATAAATAGAAGTGTATATCTCAGTTACTCTAAAACCGATCACAACTACGCCAAGAAAGTCCCTGTAATTATGATAAACAATAAAATTATATTTAAATGAAATAAGAAAACTTCATTGCACGTCACTTAGATATTTATTAGAAACTTTTTGTCTACATCCATACAGATCATAATTTCTAGTGTACCAATGAGTGATTCACAACATTTTTAGCTCTTTTAACCTTCATTCCTTTAGTAATGTATTTATTTCCCGACTAAATGTTTTGGTGTGATGTATGTGACA